ACAAATCTACATTTTTGGAATGCATTTACAAATATATGTAAAAATATATGTTAAAATGACTATGTTAAAAAAAATCTAAAAGAATATTTAAAAAATATATATATTTTTGCAATATATTCTTCAGATAAAAAAAAAATGAAAAAGGGGCCTTACCCTACCCTTAGTGAAGTCTGAATAATTGTTCTAGATCAGTCTTGGACAGGGGCGGACTGACCATTTGGAAACTCGGGCACTGCCCGAGGGCCCGGGGTCAGTAGGGGACCCCATGAGATGCCCCTAGTACCTTTTTCATAGGCTTTTTTGAGTTTGGGCAAGGACACAGGGGCCCCATGATCCCCTATTGCCAGTCCGCCCCTGGTCTTGGACTTTGGGGGAGTGCCACACGTGGCCAACAAAACCACATTAAGGCTTTGTCCCCCCACTCCCCATTAAGGATTGGCACCTTTGGGGAGCGGGTATTCAAATTTGACAGGTACCCACTCCCACTTCCGGTGTGATCGCCTAAGGCAATCAGAAACGGAAGTTGTCCTCCCATAGTCTTCTGGGCCATATGACAGGTCCCAGAAGACTACAGAACCATTCACAAATGCAGTGCTTCTTCTCGCACATGCGCAGTAGGCACCCGGCTGTGAAGCCACAAGCTGTCACAGCCGGGTGACCACATTGAAGATGCCTGTGCCGAGAAGAGAAGATGGCCCGTGAAACCAGCTGGACCAAGGGACAGGTAAGTGTCTGTATTTTAAAAGTCAGCAGCTACAGTTTTTGTAGCTGCTTTTATTTTTTTTTGACATTCTACTGGAACTCTGCTTTAAATACTTTGGGTGTATCTGGTACTCCCTACTTCTTTTCCTCCCCCTGCAGGTCCATGACCGAATTTTGTAGCAAATCTTGGTATATTTTTTTTTTTTTTTACTATCACAGAAGCTGACCTTGCTGTGTATATTGACACTATCAGACCAGCCTCTGCACTGTAGAAAATTTATGATGTAACAATGTTATTTTGCTACATTGTAAATAGTCTGGCTCATTCATAGCAGATTAAAAGGGGGACCTTTGGTCCACCTAGATGTTAGTGAGAGGAGCCTTGCAAGTTGAACAAAAAAAAAAAAATGTAATTTACAGTTTTAAATTAATCCACACTAATACATTCCCTCTCTTCCCCCTCTAGCAATTATTTTGCTGCAGATTTTATTTTTGATTACCATCATTAACTTTTGTGCCTTAATTTTATTTGTAACACATTAAAGTGATACTAAATGTGTGTATATATATATATATATACACACACACACACGCTCTGATATGGGGAGTATTATTATTATACAGTATTTATATAGCTCCAACAGTTCACACAGCACTGTACATTACAATGGGAGACAATACATGAGACAGTACAATAACAATACAATGCAATACGGGAGTAGATGCATTTTTTGTACAGTGTGTACACATCACACTGGCATTACAATTATGGCCCACTTTTATTAAAAGGAAGTAAACAAGACAAAAGTCCAACCAGGATTCCCACGCAGGGGTTTCAACTTCGGTCAGCAAACACAAATGAAAAATTACCAAGCCTGGCACTCCTGGCACTCTGGTCAGCAGTACCTCTGCTCGGTTTGGTCTGCCAAACCACTGACTATTCAGGCTCTCTCACAACTTTAGTGACAACACATTGCTGTTCAGGCCCACATGACCTCTTGACAGGGTCCCCCCCCCCCTGCACTTTCTGGCCTCCACAGCTTCATCAGCCTCCCAGACCCTCTCTTGGTCTCCCAGACTCTCAAAGCTGGCCAGACTTCCCCAGTCCTTGGGCCCAGAACCCCCCTCACCCAGGTTGTAGTCTCCACCAGCAACTCCCAACTCTCCTGACAGAGCTCTACCTTCAAACAACTCCAACTCCCACCACCTTGTGTTCTCAACAACCCATCATTATAAAGGCTGTGCACCTGGGAACACACCCTGCTGGTTGTCCACAACACCTGGACACTGGGTTGGAGATTCTGTCCGGCTCAAGACTCTTAAGCCAGCCATACGTGGGTCGAGTTCCGAAAGAATTTTCTTTCTAAAATCCTTTCTAAGAATTTTTGTTCACATTTCGCACCATTAGTGGGCCACAGAAACAGCCGATTTTCGAGTGACTATCCAAATGAGTGATCAGGCGTGTTGGAAATGTTTTTAAAAAATTAAAGAATTTCTGATCAATGATGGGAGAATCATGCAAGAAATGTAATTGAAAAATAAATGAGCAAGAGCTGTGACCTGAAAAGAAAAGAAAATTCTTGGCCACGAAAATTCTTTTCTCTAGCAACACAAGGTGAAATGAAAGGCTTCGTTGGTCGAATTTCGAAATCAATGGTGGTATCATCAGATTACAAAATGCATGAAATTTTGGATTTTCAAAGAAAATTCTTTCATAATTTGACCCATGTATGGTCTGCATTAGGAATCTCCAAACTACAGAGCAGCATTCGGCAACACCAAGAGCTTTTTTTCTCCACTCAAAATCTATGCTCTGTAGCCCTGCAGTCAGCAGACATGCAAACTCTGTGGCCATCTCCAGAGTGACAGAGCCTTGCAGTATCCCAATACATATTTTTCATTTTTTTTTTTTTTCCAAAACAAACAAGGCATACTTACCTGTTCTGTGCACTGGCTTTGTACAGAGCAGCCCTGAACCTCCTCTTCTCGGGTCTCCCGCCATCTCTCCTGGCCTTCTCCCCTGCCGAGTGCCCCCACAGCAAGCTACTTGCTCTGGGGGGCACTTTTGCATGCTCGCTCTCGCATGTCTATCAAACACACAGAACATGGCTCAGCTGCATCCCCCACTCCCTCCTCACTTCCTGTGAGGAGAGAGAGACCCTGGAGAGCCTCTTCTCTTGGGCTCAGGTATTAGGGAAGCTGAGGGGGAGAGCTGCACAAAGAAGGTATAACGGTATAGAATGCATGAAGGTAAAAAAACCTTCTGGCTTTAGAACCACTTTAAGGCTTTCAGCACATGGGCATAATGGGCAAAATACTCCCATCTATGCTTGAACTTTCTTCCAGGAAATGGCAGAAAAATCAAGTGTAAAACATGTATGTTTTGGTGCGTAATTACACAGGTTTGTGTGTGTGTCTACAGGCATATGATGTTTAGAAGTGTGTGAGCATAAATTCATTCTACTGAGCAGAATGTTAAGTTATTCATGCCACTGGAATAAATTTATGCTTATATGCGCACATTTATGTGCATAGATGCGTAAATTATGCTCAACTGCTCCCCTCTTTTTTTATGCCTTCTAACGCTTCTCTTAAAATTTGGATCTAAACTTCTAATGTGCATGGTCACATAGGCTAACATTGAACTGTGTTTAAGGGCCAGTTCACACCAGAATGCAGTGCAGGAAACCCATATACTATGAGCGTTTCCTGCACTGCGTTAAAAAATTACTGCACTTGCGAACTGCAACGGGTTTCAGTGTTAACCTAATGACACCCCAATTACAAGTCACAATTGCAGTGCATTTGCTTGCTTGCACAGTAGTACCATGCAATTGTTGTGCATTTTGTAAAGTAGTGCATGCACTACTTTTGGTACGGTGTGGCATGATTTCAGCCAATTAAAATGATCGCACAAGAAAATACAATGCGTTATTGTGAACCAGTAGTGTGAATCAGCTCTAACAGCTTTAAAAAATTTGATGAACGCCTGTAAAAGTAGCATTTTTTGTGCCTGTGTGCATGAAGCCTAAAATAATGCTTCACTGTACTTTGTATTAAGATCTTAATTTTGGTGCCAGATCTTGCCTAACCCCTTTTTTACAGAGTGGTTATGGACGCCACCTCTCTCGCCCTATAAAGGGCTTCCAAGTAGTTCTAGATGTTTTTTCTTCCTTGGATGGCATCCTTCTTGCCATGGGTTTTCCTGTCCCTGAAATCAAGGGTTAGGATTATCCTGCTGAGTCTTAGCACCTATCTACTTGACCTTTGTCTACATATCACTGCCTACCTTCCTTACCTGAAGTCAAGGGTTAGGCATGCTAGACTCTTTTTGCTTTTGTTCAAATTTGTTTTTTTCTGTTGGACACATTTTCTCATTTCTTCTATTGACCTCATTGTACTTGTCTATTTCTCCTTCCTTTACTTGTAGTGATGCTCCACATATCATTTGGTGGACTGTTGCTTTGTCCTTCATTGTTTGAGGCCCACAGTTCTTAAGTACATATCACGTACCTGGTGATGGAAGCCAATGGAGAGAGGGCTTCCCTTGCGGCTAAATTCCGGACTCCCCTGAGAGTGGGACAGTGGGAGTCTGGCCCAAAGTTGCACAGGTCGCCTGTAGGAGTGCTGGTTGGTGGTCCACTCAGAAGCACAGCTGGTGCACAGAGAGAGGTCTGCAGACAGGAGGCGCCTGTACATGAAATGCAAGCCCTTCAGGGATTTGGATGTTTACTTGGTAGTCGGTTCAAGCCAAGGTCAGGTACCAGGTGGGAATCAGAGCAGATGTAGACAGATGGGATAGCCGAGGTCATTCACAGAGGAGCGAGAGAAAGAGAGAGAGTATCCGTAAGCCAAGCCGAGGTCAGATCAGGGGTAAATCAGAGTAGACAGGACCAGGAGCAAGCCGAGTCAGTAACAGGAAATAACAAGTCAGAATCACAGGAACCAGGAACAGGGCACAGGGAGCTAGAGATCATCCAGTAACTAGAGGAAGTGATGAGCCTCCTTATAAAGGCCGTCTGGTACCAGACTGAGGCTAATGTGTACTTCTGTGGGCCATGTAGAGAACTCCTGCTGTGGACAGGACCCTGACAGTACAATTTTTCCTCTTTGAGGTGTTGCTCTCCTGATTTGTGACTTCAGATTTCTGTTTTTGGTCCTTAGCTGTGGCACCTCTCCTTTTATTGGCCCTTCTTTATCCAGCCTTCTATTTAGGCTTGCTTTTTTCAAGACCAGGGATCTCAAAACTTTCTAAACAAAGGGCCAGTTTACTGTGCTTAAGACTTTAGGGGGGGCAGACTAGGGCCAATGAGAGAGGAAAATGTCCTGGCATCTAGTGGTAGTAAACAATACCCTATCTTTAGTGTCAGTAGGAGGATTAGGACCCCATTCTTGGTGTCAGTGGGAGAAATAGTGTTCCATAGTTGGTGCCAGTGGGAGGAATAGTGCCCTATTGTTGGTGTCAGTGGAAGAAGGGAATAGTGTACCTTCATTGGCGTCAATGGAATGAATTCTGCCCCATTGTTGATGTCAGTGGGAGGAATAGTGCCCCTTCATTGGTGTTAGTGGGAGGAATAGTGTCCAATTGTTGGTGTCAGTTGGAGAAATAGTGCTCCATTGTTGGTGTCAGTGGACGGAATAGTGCCACAAGGGCCAGATAAAGGCAAGGAAAGAGCTGAATCTGGCCTCTGGGCCGCACTTTGGAGACCGCTGTTCTAGACTAAGCTTTGATCTCTCTGGGACTTGCCCTCCCTTTAGTTTGTCTGCTGTTGGATTTTCTGTTGTCTCTGGTTTACATTTGATTCTGTACTTACTGTAATATCAATTTCATGCAGGTCCCACCCCTCTATGTTCATGATCCACTCCTATATTGATTTATACAAAACTGAAGCAGGATGGGAGTGGGAGGTTTATGCCTAATTGGATAACAATTGTTTTTTTGTTTGCCAGTATCCCATTCCTCCTCAAGTCTAAAAATCTCTGAAACCATGCAAATACATGTGATGGACTCCACTCCCATCCACCATATCTTCAAACTTTCTGATATGAGAAAGAGGGGTGCCTTTTAGCACAAGGTATGGAGGCAAAGGACACCCCACAAGTTATGTAGACAGCGACAAACAAAAATACAAAATATTATTGGATAAATCCAAAATTGTTTTCTTTTTACCAATTATCTGAATACTAGCCTTTAATCACTGGCCCCGACCAGGCCATTTTTTGTGTTAGGGCGCTGCGGTACTTTAACTGATAATTGCGTGGTCATGCAATGCTGCACCCAAATGAAATTTACGTCCTTTTTTTCCCACGAATTGAGCTTTCTTTTGGTGGTATTTGATTGCCTGTGCGTTTTTTTATTTTTTGCGCTATAAAAAAAAAAGACCGACAATTTTGAGAAAAAAAACAATAATATTTTTGACTTTTTGCTATTAAACATGTCCAGTTAAAGAATTTAAAAAATCAAATTTCATCATAAATTTAGGCCAAAATGTATTCTGCTAGATGTCTTTGCTAAAAAAAAAACCCAATACGTGTAAATTAATTGATTTACGAGAAAGTTATAGTGTTTACAAATGGCGGTAAATATATACTGTGATTTTTTTTTTTTCATTTTTTACTAGTAATGGCAGCGATCAGCGACTTATAGAGGGACTGCAGCAGACATTCTGACACTGGGGGGAACTGACTTGGTGTCACTGACATCCCCAGTGCCACCAATACAGTAATAAGTGTTAAAAAAAAGCACTGACAGTGTACTAATGGCACTGGGCAGGAAGGGGTTAACATGAGGGACAATCAAAGGGTTAACTGTGTGTGGGAGTGTTTTACTAGGGGGCTGTGTCAGTGTGTTTCACTGTAATCACACTGTTCTGGATGGCTGTGCTGTCCAGTGTGCCCGAGCTGACGGAGAGGAGAACTGTTAGTAAACAAAACAGTCCTCCTCCCTGTCACCGGGCGCCGGTGACTAATCACTGGCCGGTACCTGGTGATTGACAGCCGGGGCCGCGAACGGCGGCACGGGAAGAGTGCACGTGTGCCTCCTACCTGGGAATGTAAAATCATGTATATATACATGATTTTGCACACCCCTGCCATCCTGTAGCATTTATTTCTGCTATAGGGCAGTGTGGGGATGTGGTTAAAAATACCAGTTTTAATAATGAAATGGTTGGTAAAAGTTAAGTATACTAATCACTTTTGGTAGTTAAATAAGACACACAGGGGTTGGACAAAATGATGGAAACACCACGAAAGAAATCGTTACCTAATATGCTGTTGGACCGCATTTTACATCCAAGATGGCCTGAATTCTTTTGGGAATTGACAAATATTAATCTTGGATGGTCGATAATGCAATTTAATACCACTCTTCATGCAAAAATCATTACATTTCTCGCAGAGATGCCAGAGGCGAAAGACAAGCCCGAACCTTGTTCTCCAAAACTGACCAAAGGGGCTCTGTGATTTTGCGGCACCCAGGGAAGGTGCGAGACTTCGTCTGTATGCTCGTCAAACCGCAATTTGACAACATCTGCTGTGTGAATTACAGCATTATAGTCTTGGTAAATGGTGTCTTCACCATGGGGTGCACATGGTCTGCCAAAATTTGTACATAAGCACTGGCAGTGACTCTAATTTTTAAAGATGATGATGGGGCCTGCAGAATACCAAGATATGGCTTCCCAAACCTTGATTGTGCCATCACTATTCTTTACCAGTCACATAAGACAGTCCTAGTTATAAGCACACATAAACACGCCCAGTGGTTTGGAACCGTGTCGATTCACCGGATCATACTACAGTCTTTCATTGATTGATAGTCCATGATTTATGGGTGTTGCACCACTTTCTCCTTTCTGAGCATTAATATCAGTCACTAATGGTTTGGCAGTTGTCGCTCGCCTGTAAATATTTTGCTTATGGAATTCCCTCCGCACTGTTTTTGTGCACACGGGCTTTGGAAGACTGAGATTGAGCCTTACAGTCACTTTTGCAGCAGTTGTTTTCTTATTCTGGGTTACAATCCTGTGTAATGTACTTTTGTTTCTTTCGGTCAGTTGACCATGCCAACTGCGCTTCTGCTTATCAGATGACATTTTCCCGGAAACTGTATATGCGGTCATAACCTTTGATACTGTACTTCGTGAAACAGCAAATAAATTGGCAACTTCAGTCGCAGAGAAACCAGCTAAGCTGGCACCAACAGCTCTGACATGACTCCGTATTACTAGCAGCCCACGCAGTGTATTTTATAGAGGCCTAAAACCATACCAAAAAGATGGACAATTAAAGTGGAAGAAAAGTTGAACTCTAATTATTCTTAAAAAAGTTCCCTCTCCCCTCCTCCTACCTATCCTGCCTAACCTGTATAAAAAAGTTGTGTGTACTTATTACTATTTTAAAGGATAAATTCACCTTTTTTGGAAAAGATAATAAATGCACATATTTTTGCAGGATCCTGCAGAGCATTTCACCCATGATCAGCAGACAAGTTGTACAGCTTTCAGCTCATACCTCTGTATGGACTATCCGTTTAAGGGCTAATTCACACTATTTGCAGTGACAGACATTTTACTACAGCATAATACATCTGTCGCCACAGGGACACACAGGAAACAATTGTTCCTTACATACTGCAATGCAGCCTAGTGCTGTTATAAAATGCAGACATGAGGCATTTTAAAGCAGCACACTGTGCAGAATTGCACCGTATTTCTAAGGCAGCGCACTGCCCTACATTGCAGTGGATGAAGTGTACATTTTGTACACTTCACATAAAGTCTATTCAAAACAAAAAACAAAGGGGAGCTGTGTGATGCACCGAATCATGCCCCACACTACCCCCCAGCGCAGCCGGCAACGCAGAGCTGTCAAGGTGGTGAATCGCTCAGGCAGCTCTGTCTTATGTGTGAATTCAGCCTGAAAGTTGCAGGGCTTGTGAATGAACTACAATTGCGCTCATCAGCGCCCTTGCAGTTCATTGAGAACTACAAGCCATCTGCCACTGTGACAGAGGGGACTTGTAGTTCTCTCATTCACAGATTTCTGTGAATGAATGACGAGCAGTGTGGTTGGAGCGCCGCACAGCAGCGCCATTTGTGAAAAGTGACAGGGGGTGCAGGGAGAACCCCGCCTCCTGTCATTGGGGGACTGCTGGAGCTTGTTATACACTGCAACCTAAATGTGGGTATAACATGTAACATTCTCCAAAAGGTGAACTTAGCTTTTAATCTTCTCCAGTCCAGTCATGTGATCCTCAGCTCCAGCTCCTCTGTGTCAGTGAGTGGCTACTACAGGGGAGAGAAGGAAGTGCCGACAATGGCTGGGCCATGGGAGCCTTTTGGGTGGTGTTATTGCTCCAGTAATTCACAACCATTGTTGAGTGCTCCTTTACCCAGAGCTGTAGGATCACATAACCAACTGGACCAGAGCAGACTGAAAATAGATACATATTCAGATAGTTTTTGTACAGGTTATGCAGGATCTGTAGGAGGAGGGAACAATTTTAAGAGTAGTTAGGGTTTTATACCACTTTATGGAACAATAAAAGATTTGGTTCTAAAAGAGAGAAAGACCTCCAAATGAGGAACAGTTGGAAGCTATGCCATCAATTTGTTGGCCCATCATTTCCAAGTAGAAAAAAAGCAGAAGAAAAAAAATCTAAATAGAGGTATGGTTGTCCCAGCACTTACAAGGTTAACTGCATGCAGAGCTTTATCATACTCAGATGGTGTCACTTACCTTTTGAAGACTTGATATAAGTAGGCAGGTAAAGGTATTTTTGCGTTATATGAATGTGGTGTCTGGTTTTCAGCAGTAGGTTGGTATGGATGATTTTTAGTTTGTCTCCTTTGTAACCAATTTGCAAGTATTTTTTTTTTTCTATTAGCAGTTTTTGCTGCTGTAGGATGCACACCATCTCTCCCATTCTGAGACCAGGCTGAGATTTTCCTCTCCTCTCTTCTAAAATTTGTGGCCCAGCTGAGTAATCTTCTGTTTCTTATTGTGATCGTTATCACTTGCTTGTAAGATTTTTATTTATAGGTTTAACACGTGTAGTGGTTGCAATGTACTGATTTTTAACAGAATAGCCTGTAGGACAAAGGGAAAATCTTGTGTTTTGGAACCAAAAAAAATGTTTTTATATATTTTGAGCAATGCTCACAATATAGATGTTCACTTAATTGTAATGCCCTTTTACTGGCTTTAATCATTCCAGGTACCATTCTACAAGTTGTATGCTTTGCAGGTTCCAGCCAAAGAAAAATGTTTGCAATGTTTGTTGGACTCCTTCTCATTACAGGTACTTCTTTCAAATTCTCTTTTCTATCTCAAATTCTGTCTTTCATATTACTGTTACTGACAAATTAATGTCTGGATATGAACTTTAGCTTGCAGGACAGCAGTGTGTACAACAAGCCTTCACAAGGTGTTTGTTTCCTAAGTGTTCTACCCGCTATTGTGAATCCTTTAAAGAACCTATCTGCTCAAGTTTGAGATGTTAAATGCAGATCTTAATGGGAGTGGTAAAGTCACTTTAAAGGATAAGTTCACTCTTATTTAAAAAAGAGAATAACAAACGCACATCTTTTTGCAGGTAAAAAAAGTCAATTTTTAATTTTTTTTTTCTTTAGTAGATGCCTGGAAAGCTGATTGCAGGTGTCATGCAGGACTCCTGCAGACATGCCAGTG